CGTATCAATCCGAAGTAGAGGTGGGCAGGAAGTGGTCATCATGTCCCTTGACATGCTGAGATGAAGCGTTTTCCAGTTCTGCAGTGGGATGAAACTGAGATTTTTTTCGAAGTTTATTTCATGGAAAACCAGAGAGGGAACTCCACCCGACCTAGCTAATAGCTCTCACCATTGAGTGGTTGGCTATTCAAGGATCAATCTCTCCAAATCCGAAGTAGAGGTGGGCAGGAAGTGGTCATCATGTCCCTTGACATGCTGAGATGAAGCGTTTTCCAGTTCTGCAGTGGGATGAAACTGAGATTTTTTTCGAAGTTTATTTCATGGAAAACCAGAGAGGGAACTCCACCCGACCTAGCTAATAGCTCTCACCATTGAGTGGTTGGCTATTCAAGGATCAATCTCTCCAGTTTCCTATCATGAGAAACGTTTGCTGAGAGAAGTTTAATTGAAAGCTGATTTGCTCCCCCAGAGCCATTTTTGTGTTGACAATTTGTGGATTTTCTGAACAAATCAAAAAAGACTAACTGAAAAAATCCCTGACCTGTTTTCTTGGAAAGTACGTATCTGAGAGGTGTCCAAGGTGGCTTTGGTTTTTTATATTGGTCAGCAGGCGACTTAACCAATTCAATCCGTTCTAGGTGATGCAATTTCTTGCTAGGGGAGCACTTCGCTCGCTGTGCTCAGCTCACCATAGCATGACTATTAAGGGTGGCATGAGGCTTTTAGGAAGTGACATGTCTGTTGGTTCCATCTCCTGATTCCATCTGCTTTGAGAGAAAACACATGGAATGCAATTTTCTCAGTTCCCACGAGCCAAGAATGTCAGTTTTTAAACTGACAGGGATGCAGGGGAATGGTATAAGGCAACTCCTTCTAACATGTCGAACACTGAACTGTACAACTAATGGTCAATAATACGTCACACCAGACTGTCCTCCCGCTACAATTCTCACAATGCTTTACAAGCATTAGGGACTTCAGCACCACAACAACTCTTTCCTCAGATCACTATGAAACTCAGATAGGGAAAACCGATGAACAAAAGAGGTTCAAAGACTTGCCCAAAATCACATTGCGAACCTAGGGAGAGGTTTGGCAAGAACCTTTATTGCAGCTCCTAATCATGTGCGTTAGCCACCGGCCTGTTTCCTTCCTATATGACTTGTCAGGCAGAATAACCACAACTCCTGCAACTTCGTGATTACGTTTCTTCTTACAACGAGCTCTTACCTGCTTCCCAGAAGTTTGAGGCTTCTGGTTTAAGTAACTTTCACGCCATATCAGCTATGCCTCTTCAGGAGTGTTCTAATTCCAGCTATTGTAAGGAATGTAAAGTATGGAGGGAGGGTTCCCTTGAGTTTTTAGCTGCAAATTTCTTCCTATTTGTGACATAAGCTGTCAAGTCATTGAGTTGGGAGCAAGGATTTTACAGAGGAAGAATCCAGGCTGCTTTGGTCTCAGACAGGCTCAGTTGCTAACATGTTTCTCCTCTGGGGAAGTGAAAAATTGGCTTGTGGGTGCTCACACTGTGGCTTCCCTTTTCATTGCAGTACATTCATTCTGCTGGAATCATTCACCGGGTAAGTTCATGTGCACTGTTAATTTGCTTGTAGTCCAAGAGAAACAGCTCAGCGAGAAAGTTCCCTGCATCTCCCGTATCCTTGACCATCACTCACTAAAGGCTTTGGCCTTTAGCTCTCCCTAACTTAAGCCCATTTCTCTTTCGCTGCCTCGCTCCCTTCCTACCTGTGTGGGGCTGGATTTGCTCGGTGGGCAACGTGATACTTTGCAACAGACTGTGAAGCATCTGGGGATGCTTCCCGAATGGAAGATGCTTTGGAAAAGGAAATAATCCGAGTACTGGTCTGAAATGTAACAGGCTCGTTGTCTTCGCTGCTGTGGATTCAGGGTGCAATGTTCCAACCCAGCACAGGCCACGCTGAAATTTGATGGAGATTTCCAGGGTGGAATTGTAATTTGCTTGTGTCCTGATTGATCTGCTTTCGTCTGCCGCAGGACCTGAAGCCAGGCAATCTGGCTGTGAATGAAGACTGCGAACTAAAGGTAGGGATGAAGGTGCCACTTCGGTGGCTTGTGAGCCGGGCAGCGGGTTGAGCCGCTTGTGAACTGCTCTGAGTGCCTGAATCCAGATAGCAAGGTTGCTATTGCCTCTTGAGGTCCCAGTTCAGCAAGGTATTTCAGCACCTGTCTGTAGCATCGTGTGCTTGAAGGCAGGTCCTGCATCAGTACCTTGCTGAACCAGGGCCCGAGGCGGGCATGAATATCCTGGTGCTGGTGCAGAACAAATTCAACACCCTGCAAACATGCAAAAGCCTAGGGTCACATCTACATTGGGGAGATCCTGCAAGGCTGATAACTGTGAGCAGCGACAGCTCCCCTGGGCGCGCCTCAGCTAGAGTTGAAGCCGTATTACAGACAAAGCCATTTTCAGGGTAGAAAAGGCTTCTTAGAGCCCTGGGGGAAGGAAGGGCCTGTTTCCTGGGAAGTATTTAAAGTACTTTGGCCCTGTCTCGGCTGAAGGTGGGATCAAATGGAACATTGTTAGTTTTTCGTGGGAGACGTGGGCACTAGTTGGCCTTGGAGCCAGCTATATATGGCTTAGGTATATGGCTTCTATGGCACGGAAAGGTCCTGTGAAAAATAAGACCATGAGTTTCAGAGAAGGGGGTGACCCTACACATCACACATACTCCTGATTCCTCCTGTGGGTCTTCAGGCCACATGGGCTATCCAGCCTGGCTGTAATTCACAGTGCAGTTAAGACATAAGAACGGCCATACTGGGTCAGACCAAAGGTCCATCTAGCCCAGTAGCCTGTCTGCCGACAGTGGCCAGCACCAGGTGCCCCAGAGAGGGTGGACCGAAGACAATGATCAAGTGATTTGTCTCCTGCCATCCTTCTCCAGTCTCTGACAAACAGAGGTCAAGGACACCAAGGCTGTACCCAGACTCAGGGGTTTTTTCGAAAAAAATAGCCTTTTTTCAAAAAAACTTCACCTGCGTCTAGACTGCAGCCGCGTTCTTTCGAAATGAAATCAAAAGAACGCGGCTTTTCTTTCGACGGCAGTAAACCTCATTTCACGAGGAAGAACGCCTTTTTTCGAAAGTGCGCTTTCGAAAAAAGGCGTTCTTGAATGCCAACAGGGCTTTTTAGAAAGAGAGCATCCAGACTCACTCGCTGCTTTCTTTCGAAAAAGCGGCTTGCTTTTTCGAAAGTACTGCTTGCAGTCTAGACACTCTTTTTCAAAAGAGGCTTGCCGTCTAGACATAGCCCAAGACAAAGCGGTTGGGATGGCTCTGCTGTAGCGGTAAAGCTGTAGCTGATGGTTTCCTGAGGGGAACAGATTCTCTTCTACTTTCAGGATCTCTCTTTTCCTTCCCTCACCATCTCCCTGCCCTGTTGATCTATAGATCCTGGACTTTGGCTTGGCGAGACAAACGGACGCTGAGATGACTGGCTATGTTGTGACGCGCTGGTACAGAGCCCCAGAAGTCATTCTGAACTGGATGCATTACAACCAAACTGGTGAGTTAAATTGCTTCCTCCGGCTCTCTTGGGACCACCACTGCGATGCCCTCAGGAAGGTTAGTATGGACCACTAGGAGGGTGGGGAAGCACTGGGATGGGTTCCCTAGGGAGGGGGTGGAATCTCCATCCCTGGAGATGTTTAAGTCTCAGCTTGACAAATCCCTGGTTGGGTTGATTGAGTTGGGATTGGTCCTGCCTTGGGCAGGGGGCTGGACTTGATGACCTCCTGAGGTCTCTTCCAGCCCCAGGATTCTAGGATCACACACAGCCTTCCTCCGTTGGCTGTGAAGTCGAGGAAGAATAAAAACACTCCTCTCCCGCAGCAGTTATGCCGATCAAGCATCAGGAGATAGCTCCACCCAAAGTCTGTCACCATGGGGAGAGAGGAACCCCAAGCGTGTAGTAACCCAGGAACTACACCTGGTAGCGAGAGGGGGAGGGTTTGAAAGTGGGAGGATAGCCAAGCCAATGACTAAAGGACTCCGCAAATGTTACTGTGGGCTTCCAAAGCACGACAGGGCCCCAGAGCATGAGCATCCGGGTTTGCTTTCCCGAACCGCCAGGCATGGCCCCGCCCACACTCCGCCCCCAGAGTGCCTGCTCTAGGTGGTCTGGGGCAGTATGTTGCTGCCCTCTGGTGCCCGCCCTCCCTGCGCTCCAGGCCAGGGAAGCTGGGGACACATGCTACCTGCACTCCCCGTGCTCCAGGGGCTGGGGGAGGTTGGGCTGCGCAGCCTTTTTCCTCCCTGGTGCTCCGGGGAGGTTGGGGCACATGTGCCCTTTCCCTCGCCGCAAGCACGCTCTGCACGCTGCCCCGCCTCCTCCACTCAATAGGGGTGGGGCCTCAGTGGAGGGGGCGGGGCCTGCCTCCCCCAGCCCAGGCTCCGCCCACCATGCATGCCCCCGAACTGTGTGTTTGCTCCCGTTCCCAGCCTTGCTCCTTTGCAGGCCCACAGACGGGGGCAGCTGCCCTCGGGCCTAGCAATACAAAGGGGGCTGGGTGCCACAGTTGCTACTAGTGCCTAGCAGCCGGAGCCCCGGGCTTTTTAAATCTCCTCTAGAGCGCCACTCCACGTGGTGCTGAGAACTGGGGGAAGGCTCTAGCACCATGAGGCAGCACTGAAGCCTGGCTGCCCCATCTCTACCCCTTCCAACTGAGGACCCACCCCTTCCAGGGGCACGGAGCCGGCCCCCCACCTTGTCCAGGCCCAGTGAAGCTGTTGCGCTGCCCTGTTCCTTTCTCATGCTCCTCTTGGTTTCTTCTCACGCAGTGGACATCTGGTCTGTTGGCTGCATCATGGCAGAAATGCTGACTGGGAAAACCTTGTTTAAAGGAAAGGACTGTATCCTTTCAAACTGGTGTAGGCTCTTCGGGGTGAGTGTGAGTGTGAGTGTGTGTGAGAGAGAACTCTCTAACTGTGCCTAAAATGGATGCTCTGGGTATTTGTGACTAGGCATTTATGCAGGTATGTGAGGGGAGGGATGCTAGGGAAGGAGGGCGTTAATGTGGCCCACTGAGGTAAATTCAGCCCCAGCGCCCTCTTGCTCCCTGACCAGAGAGCATTGTGTGCTGAGGAGAGGAACTGAGGTTAACACACAGTGCCCCAGGCCCACTGCAGAACTCAGCTATGTGAGGGCTGCTTGCAGCCCTTGTGGATCTACAGCTGCACAGATCCATCCCGCACAGCCTTCCTCGGGAAGCCACAGCTATTGCATTAGGAGTCCTGGAGCCGCTTGGGGGTAAAGATTCATTCTCCTTAATCCCCAAAGGCCTTCCTAGGCCACTGCCAACATATTTGGGCTGCTGTCAGGGCCGCATTATGACTTCCGTGGGCCCTAGGCACTTTTGCCTTCGTGGGCCCCTCCCACCCGAATAATATCAATATTAAAAATTATTTTTGATATAACTTTAAATACTTCAACATTTTATTTTTTTTTCTGTTTGAGGCAAAATGTAATAGATTTTCCTGGGCCCTAAAAGTTTCGTTTTTTTCTGATGTGAGAAAAAAATGAAAACATTGTCTTTGACCCTAAAAGTTCATTTTTTTCCTTCTGATTTTAAAAGACATTAAAACATTTGCATGGGCCCCTAAAAGTATCGTGGGCCCTAGGCACTGTGCCTGCTGTGCCTAATGGATGAGTTGACCCTGGTTGCTGGCTCGATCCAAGCTTTGGCCCTAAATAACCTTTAACTCAGCCTGCCAGATCTAGATCAGCTGACCCAGATCTTGAAAATAACCGGACTCCCAGGAGAGGAGTTTGTGCAGAAACTGGAGGACAAAGCGGTAAGGAAAACATTCAGCCGAGGGCTGGACTTCCGAATGCCTTGCAGTGGAAATCACATGAAAATTGGTTATTTTTATATTGTCTTTGCCATGTGCATGTGCTTGGCTTTTAGTACCATAAACCATCCCAGCAAGGCAGCGCCCTTGCATCTGTCCCTGACGGGGGCTCCTCCAAAGCATCTGGCTTCGAAAGAAAGTCCATTTACCAATGAGTCCAAGTAGGGGGATGATGAATACCGGAGACAGGAGTCAGGACTCCTCAGATCTAGGTCAGATGCAGCCAGCGGATCTCTCTGTGACCCTGGACAGACCATTCCACCTCTCTGCAACCCAGGGGGGCCGTCTGCAAGATGTTTGCACCTTGCCGGGGGGTGGGGGCTGTCCTGTAACCCAGTCCCTCCCAGGAAAGCGGCCGTAGAAATGTGGCATTTTGCATCATTTACGGCTACCCTGCCATCTAGACGAAGACCCAATGGACTTTTCTGGGGTCCCCTTTGCCTGTCTGCAGCAAGTCTATGTGTTGTACATTGTTGTGTTTCTTCCAGGCTAAGAAGTATATCCAGTCCCTTCCCAAGATTCCCAAAATGGATTTATCTGTGCTTTTCCCCAAAGCCAACCCTCTGGGTGAGTCCTCTTCAGTGTTCCTCTCACGCCACTTCGCGTCTGTTTTAGGGATGTAAAGGGTTAACTGGTTACCCAGTAAGCCTTAGCCTTGCCCATACTGGCATGCTTTCTGCGGTACCCAGTTAACCGGTGGCCTGGCTGGAGCATCCCCCGCCTGCTGCGCAGTGCCGCCGGCTCTGCCTGGCCCAGTTAGAGCTGCCTTCCCGCGCCATGTGGCAGGTTTGGTTCAGTCCGGCTCATCTGCCTGCAGCCCTGCTGGCCCAACTTGAATAGCCTCAGTCTCTGTCCATAGTGTGATACGATGGGCCCACCCAGGCTGGAACAGGCCCCCGTCCACGGTGTGACATGGTGGGCTCGGCCTGGCCAGAGCAGCTCCCTGCCGTGGGATCCCAATTAACTGGTAAAATAGTCGGTCCGGAGATTTCTGTCAAGCCTCTTCCAAACTCACTTTTTCCTGCAGTCAAAGGACTCCAATTCTATTAGCCGGTTTAGCAAAGGAAACGTCTGGTCTTACACACTTGTGAGGACAGGACAGAGACGCGCATGGGGAAGGAGACAGGCCTATGCAAGTCCAGGAGCTTCAGGGGTAGCTGAGTTAGTCTGTTACAGAAAAAAACAGCAAGCGAAGGTCTGGTAGCACTTTATAGACCCGTGGTCCCCAACACGGTGCCCTATTCTATTAGCCGGTTTAGCAAAGGAAACGTCTGGTCTTACACACTTGTGAGGACAGGACAGAGACGCGCATGGGGAAGGAGACAGGCCTATGCAAGTCCAGGAGCTTCAGGGGTAGCTGAGTTAGTCTGTTACAGAAAAAAACAGCAAGCGAAGGTCTGGTAGCACTTTATAGACCCGTGGTCCCCAACACGGTGCCCTTGCATGCGCCCGCCAGGTGCTCGGGGCCTGGCCCCGGGCACATGGCGCGGCGCGGCGCTTGCGGGGAGTGTCGGCCC